ACTCCTCTCCTTGAAATTACTAGGCCTTAAATCCTGCTATGGTCACTAATTTTCTCTCCACCTCCTAATGGGACGCCCAATCAGTTCTCCCATTGGGTTCGTATCAGCAGCCATTCTATCCACGTCTTCCCCAGCTTCCTTGGTCCAACTCTGGGTTCCTTCAAAATGCCTTCATTTCTTTTATGATGTCATTTCCTTCACCCTACCCTTCTCCTCATAAACTTCATTTAGTAAGCTGTAATTCTATTATTATCACTCTTTCTTACCCGCCATGATTGGCTTTCATAGCAGAGGACCGGTGGCGCTACGGTCTTATGCAGGCGTGTTGAGAGTTCTCTCTGCACCAGTGATGGCTTCAAGACAACGTTTATAGTACTCATAATTTCTGCGAGCTTTACGATATTTTTTGTGGCAGATCTAGCCAGCCTTGCATCGTATTAGAGTTCATAATGCTATTTTTATGTCTTTCGGCATGTGTACAAAGGATGTTTAGTCGTTAAAAGTAATTTATAGCTGTTTATTAATTATGTTACTTGCAAAGTTCTCATTTGTCTCGTTCTTTCATGTGATACTGTTACAATTAATTTAGTTTTGTCTCTTGTTGACGAGTCAATTTAGAAAATGTAAATTTTGGTTTAACATATGAACAGTGGATGTTTTCCTCAATTTAAGGTAATAATGGAGTAATTAACTTTGCTTTTCCAGATACTGCAAATATATTTCTTTTACAGGTCGAACCTGAACACATATTTTTTTGTATTGTTAGTGGGGTGGGACTAAGTCCTTGTACTGCGGCCACTTCTGGCCTATTGTACCAGCCCCAGATGATAGGTAAGGGTGATTGTGGAGCAATTGGTGTAATAAAGATTGGCAGGGGAAACCAAAGTACTCAGAGAAAACCTGCTCCAGCGCCACTTTGTCCACCACAAATCCCACTTGACCCGCTGTGGAAAGCCAGCGACTCACCGCTTGAGCTATTTTTGAGTACTTATTCACAATGATATACCTGATAAGTTTCTTATTATGCGACTTAAAATGTTTCGAAAAAATATCAGAACTTACCTATGCGACGTTTAGTATCTTTTATTTTCGCTTGAATTTTAGTGTATATTCTAAATATAATAAGTGTTAAAGCAAAGATAAATATAAGGGTCTGATTGGCTTTGTGCTTACTGAGGCATATCGCCATTAAGACTTACTGAGGAGTGGAGATCAACCTACATGAAGATTTGAGGCTTTCACGGCGGTGACTATGAAGAAAGCAGTCTTCTGGGATTTGGCACCGTGTATATGTGGTGTTAACCGACGTTTCGGAGGAACGTATCGCCCCCATCTTCAGGGTAGAAGAAAAAGTATAAGAAATCTGCAAGCGACAACACCGTGAGAAACGGTAAAGCAGACTCTGCAGTAGCTACAGCTACTGCTCTCCGCAAGCCATTCAACTGCTCTGAAGATGGAGGCGCTACGTTCCTCCGAAACGTCGGCCAAAACGAAGAATACACGGTGCCTAAACCCAGAAGACAACTTTCTTCATTGCCATCGCCGTGAAAACCTCAAAACTAAACATTATAATGAATTTATATTAATAAATACATTTTCAGACGTTAAATTCGATCTGGAATGGACATATACCACATCACTGTAACAAGATACATGAGCAAAGAAGGTGAAAAATATAAATAATTACCTTCTCCAACACCACATTTCGAAACTTTCCAGATGTTTCTGATCTACTGCCCTAAGTGTCCATGTTTCAGTCCCATAGAGAGCTATGCTCCAAATGTAGCATTTCACTAGTTTCTTCCTCAAATTTAAGTCCAATTTGCTGGTAAAAAGATTCTTCTTCTTGCTAAATGCAGCTTTTTCCATGGCAATCCTGGATTTAATTTCACTAGTACCCCTTCCATCATCTGTTAACAAGCTACCCAAATATTTAAAACATTTCAAATAATTACATGCTCATTAAATAACTTCATACTTAACGCTCTCTGTTTAGTGATATTCGGTTGTTTAGATGAAACGGAAATGATAGACAGAACACGTAACACGCTTGGGGAAAGCTGTAAATGCATTCTGAAAATGGAGACACCCTATCGGATGCTTATAAGTAGATGCAATCATATCATTGAAATGGAGAAATGCATTGTAAATTTTGGGACTAAAGTGATTTTTCTCGGGACTTGGAATCCTTTTATGAATACTGTAATGAACTTACTGGTTACTTAAAAACAGGGAATCCCTTGAACTTCTCAAAACTATCATCGCTTCAAAAATAAAAAAGAAATCCATGTGCCATTGGTTTAATTCTACTGTACTGAAGCCGGGAAAGTTTTTAGACGTTTTGCAGTTTCATTCTTCTTGCTGAATAGATGGATGGGAATGGAGGAAAGATGGATAACTGTAAATTTCCTTTGTTTAAACTCTGTTCTAACTCCCAGAGTCATCTGGGACTCCGACTGAATGCATATACAGAGCACTGTCATTACCAACAGTTTTGTTGTGCCACTAGTTCTTGTTCGTTGTAAACACCTGGACTAAGGACAACCTGAGGCCTGCGAAGTAAGTGCAGAATAATTGCCAGACTAGATAGTTTCCAGTACAGCTGTTTAAAAGTTACGTAATTAGTTTATGGGTGTCCCACTACATGTGTTCTCTGTGGAAGCTGCAGATGTAGGTAATACAGTCTCGATACAAAGGGATTCAGATTAATCTCTCACGCGTTCTTAGTTTCACTGTGGACACATTCAATAGTTCAGTTATATACAAAATAGTATACAGCGCGTAATGACAGG